GAGCATGGGGGGCAGAGGTCAACACACTGTTTGGAGGATGAAGTTTTGGGAATTCCACAGATCAAGACGGCCGCGTTTAGGGAGAGACCACTTTGGGGGGGAGACCTGGAGATCGCTGTTCATTATCGTCTTGGAGAGAGGAGGCGCCGAACGGGTTTTTTAGTGCGCCCGCATTCGGTGCTCATCAGCTCGACGAGCACCGAGTGCTAAGCACTTAAAACGTCCCCGTTTTGAGTGCTGGGCAATAAACAAATTTTTTTCCCAACGTTTTTCTTTCTTTCTTTCTTTTTTTTCAATGTAACATTTTTTTAAGCACATGCAGCCTTCCAAAATTTCCCAATGTATTTGTATTTATCCATATTTTTTGCTTCACCCAAACATTACTGGAAGATATCCTCTTTAATTTAATTACTTTTTATTTTATTTATGTTTAATATATATTTCATCACAATGATAATTGATCTAACTATAATAAATGAAGAGTACAAAATTATATATTCATATAAAAAATTTAATGATTTAACTTATAAATAAGATCAAAATTTTTTCTCTAAATAAATAGGACCATATGAGTAGTTTATCATTTAATCACGAATATGATTATCTATTATTATTTTCAATCTTTAATATAAGAGCTAATTTGATATTTTTTTTTATTCTAAATATAAAACCTCAATCCTCTTTGTTTTCTATATTTATCTTTTTTTTTAGAGTAATTCTTATAATAGTTGCACATTTTAAATATTTCATCAAATTAGCTAATACACATGATTAATAAGGGTATTTAAGAAAGACAATACATATTTATTAAAAATAACTAACTTAACTAATTTTCTTAATCTACTCAAATTAATCAATTAGTTCTTATATCAAAGACCATAGATAGTATTTATTTTTATTCTTAACTCTTCTTCGTAATAAACGGATTGTAAATCTATAAATTTTTGAGTAAAGTAACATCCAACACCGATATTATTTGTAAATAGTATCCAATATTTTAATCTTATTTATGGCACATTTAATTTTTTTTATCCAGTACTTTTGAAATTATTTTTTCAGTTACATCCAAGACCACAATATTATTTATAATTTAAAGGTGCTAAATACATTATAAATAAGATTAGGGTGTTAGATGCATTACATATAACATTAGGATACCGTATATACAAATGAAAAATAGTATAAGGATACTAAATATTATTTCTAGTCCTATTTATAAGAGCTAGTTGACTAATTTGAGGAGATTAGAAAAAGAAGTTAAGTTAGTTATTTGTAATAAATATATGTTGTCTTTCCTAAAATATCCTTACTAATTAAGTGTATTGGTTAGAATTATTATTATTAGAAGAACTATCTTGGAAAAAAATACATAAGTATGAGAGACAAAGTAGATTGAGATCTTATATTTAGAATCAAAATAAAAGTTAAACAAAGTTTTATATTAAGGAGTACTATTTTACTCTAAATTTTTTCACACATCAATACCATTTTATTTAGTTTGGGTACTCTTTTAATAATGTCTGATAAAGTGCAAAAAACTAAAGATAATAGAATCAGGTTGAAAAATTATGGGAAATTGCTGCATCTTGCATGTGAGATGGGAAAAAAAAGTTGCAGTGAAAAAAAAAAAAAAAAATTGGCCGCCCAGCACGCAAAACGTTTCTGTTTTGAGTGATGAGCACTGATGAGCACCGAATGTGGACGAGGTTTTTACAAGGGAACTGTTCATCATCTTCCTCCCTTGAATCATAGACGCCGAGACCAGTTCTGAGCAGGAAATTGGCGACAGCCACAACCTTGAGAGGACGAGTTCAGGCGACGGCTTGATGAGAGGAGGGACGAGGATTCGTGACTGGAACCAGAGGTGAACGCGATTTGAGTTAGAACCAGAGGAGCATCTGCAAGTTGGAGTTCTTCTTTGCTAGTCAAAAGGCCAGAGAAGATTCATTGTTGACTTGTTCTTCGGTTTCAATTGGTTGCCAGTGTTTATTTCCCCTGTTTCTTTTGATTTCTATTATGAATTTTGAATCTGGAATTATTGTTGCTGAGACTGATTATATTTATGTGTAGCTAATTTTCTTTATAGCATAGAGGAACTATAAACTTGTTAGTAGATTGAGCTTTGTTTTCACTGAATTGGGGATGCTTAATGTTAAAGTTTGGTTACTTGTTTTTTTTATTTGTTTATTTGATTGATGACTGGCCATCATTAATTGTGAATTTGAGAATTAAAATTTTTCTTAACAAACGAGATTTTAATTAACCTTAGATTAAGTAATATGGGATTAGATGATCGGAACTCACAATTTGGGGAAAACTTCACAGCTGACAAGGTTGACATGATTACTCTGGCAAGGTCAACAAAAAGGCATCAGAGAGGATGTCATATACAATGGAAAAGAGCAATAATAAAAAGTGAAGTTGGATTCAGACAACTGCATATAAGACTAAAATTGCTGGACAATTACACTCATTCTTAACACCTGGATTAGAATGTAAAGTGCATTAAAGATTGCGAAGAATAGCATTTCAAGTAACACAAAACTGCTGATTAAATACATCACAGCCATGGTACATTTCAGAAGCATCAAATAACTCATTCATGGGGTACCATGCCATTCATTTACAGCATAGAGCCCGGCATGGTCCATACAGACAGAGATTAAACAAAAAGAGAAACTATGACTGTTCTCTGAACTGAGTCCTCCGTAACTGACTTTCTTAAGACTGCATTTCCCTTTCTTAAAGAACATTCGGCAAAGGACTCAAAGTACCACCGATCTCATCACCTCCTTGACCAGGTCTAACTAGGTGAAGCTTTTAATCCACTGTATTGAAGTCTAACCTTAGCTGAAATGAAAGGTATTCTGGGAAACAAATTGCCCACAACCTAATAAGATTTGAATGAGAAAAGGAGAGGTATCTATTTCAACATTGCTCGTAGCCTAAAGCTAGATAAGTAATGGAGTTCAGTCCAAATAACTTGCCTGCACAATCATAGTTCAGAAATTTATGCCTTTAAAATTTACGAATAATGGAACCGTTTCCATCCCTTGTTCAGTTAACAAAGCCCTAGGGAGAGAAGCAAACTAATTGCTCTGCTCTTCACAAGAGGCTCCACTTTTATTCATTTCTATGACAGCCTCACAATATGGTCTTGCTCTATCCTCACCAATGGCAATGTAGCAAGGAAGGAACCGCATAAGCTTAAAATTGAAAAAAGTACACATGTAATCATACGCAATTATGATACATCCAATGTACTTTCCCATGATCAAACTAAGAACAGAGCCAGTAACCATGGCTGTTGCACTGCATTTCAAGAAAGGATAAATAGAGTTAAAAGTCAGCACAGGATACAAGTATATTTCATCTTATGAAAAATCTCCCGCATCACTAAACTTCTGCTTCCTTTGTGGCTGTTTTCAAAAAGGCACCGCATGATGGATAGATTGGACAGGAGAGTCGAACAATTGTTATGCAAACACAGAAATGTTGCCATCGACATCACTGTATGAGCTCCCCTTTGGTAATGATTGTCTTTCCCCATCCTCTTGTTTTAGAGTGAAATATCAATTTTTGATATTTACAACAACAAGTGTTGAAAAGTTATTCACATAAGTTTTATCAAAAATTGGTATTATTTTTATAATTTAATTGCTAATAACAAGTCTACAATGAAAAATAATAAGTGTTGAAAAATTATTCGCAATAACTTAAATTTTATCAGAAATTGATATTATTTTCACAATTTAATTACCAATGGAAATCTAGTATAAAAAATAATAAATATTAAAAAGCTATTTATATTAACTTGAGTTTTAGCAGAGCAACTCTTCTCAAAATAAAAACACTGATAAAAACAACCGTCCTTAGAATAATAAAAGCCAATCTGTACCAGTCATTTTTTCTCACCTTTTTCTTCTCTCAAAATAAAAACACGCAGCGTGAACATCACATTACTTTATCAAACCTAAGAGGTGAAGGAAAGGACAATGAGTCTAAAAGTGATCTTCATGCTCGAGCAACATTAGCTTGGGGAAAGGAGCTAGAAGAGCACTTTCATTCCCAAAAGACATAGAAAGCTTGACTCAACACGAGTCGGAGCTGCAACTTCAAAGTGAAGGCAAAGAAAATGAAGCCCAAGAGCTAAGTGCCAAAAACTAGCTGCTTTTGAAAGCGGCGCTAATAAACGCAGCATACAAGTCATCGGCACCATTGAGTTCTTAGCATCCATTTATACTCCATCACACAAATTTCGCCGCATCTGCTCGTGGCTAGAGGCGGCCTTGCTTGAAGTCTAATGATGAATGCCTCTCTCTCAGTATGTGTTCCAGCTCCAACTATCTTCCACGCGCCGCAACCCATCTACACGTTCCATGTTGGATTTTATTTCTTCATTAAATTTGGTTGTTTGGATAGCTATGATATATGGGTATGCTGGAAATAGACAACAATCAAATACCATCAAACTATTTCAGAGTACCGCAAAAGAACTTGTTTTCTTGGACAGCTTTGATTTCTTGGTTGATACAGAGTGGGAAGGAACGACAATCAAATAGTATCGAACTATTTCATGGAGTACAGCATTAGAACTCGTTTTCTTAGACATTTTTTTTTCTTGGTTGATACCGAGTGGGAATGTAATTGATGGGGAGAGTTAGGGAAGAAAATAATAGAAAGAGAGAGAAGATACAAGTCTTCTGATATTTTTCCTAATTTTTCATTATTCACATTTAAAACCCAGTCTCTTGCAGCGACTTTATCAATTCAAATACTCATTTCACAACTTTACTATTTCAAGACTCCTTTTTTCCCATTTTCCCTTTATAAAACAGGAAAATCTAGCGTTTAAGATTTACAATGGGAACAAAACATCACACGCAAAACGCGAAAAAGAACAAATAAATTTAGAGCGTGATTGTGCTGACCATTCTTTCAAGATAACGGAGTTGACTAAACTGTATTCAGATACGATGAGAATGTGGGGTCCGAAGGGGTAGGCTTAAAGAAAAATATTATGAGATCGAAGAAAACAAAAACAACTGATGTTCTTAATGTGGCTAGTATTTAACTTGGGATAAAACGACGAACACCAAAATGTAAAGAGCATTACAACCAAAAATGTTGCACCAGAAAAGTAGTTCAACTACTAGGATTTAGGACGCTAGATATAACCACAGCAAACTCGAAAGAGGCAATTAAAACACGCGATATGATCTCCCCATTGTGCTCTTGAGATACAAGCACCTAACCTGAAAGCAACACAAACCAAGCTCATTAGGCGACCGGTCCAAGCATATATCAGGCACAAACTATACGGATATTCAGACTTCTAAGGCGCGAGGAGGAAAAATTCTAAGGTTGTGTTTTCTTTAGCCCCACAGTAGTCCTTTATATACTGATAATAAAAGAGAGGACAAAGCCAGCATTCAGCGATGCCACAATATATATCCAGCAGAATTGAAAATGGCATCACAAACAACCACAGTAGATATGCTGACAGACCCCAGAGATGAGCTTAACCATTAAGACAAGCATTGACACCTCAAGGGCAAAAACTGGGAGAATCGAATGATCTATAAAGCTAAGGGCAGGAAACATAGCGGGTAGCGCAGAGAGGATAACTTACATTCTGCCAGTTCTTCTTCAATAAGGAAACAAGGAAGTTGACGCTCATTTGTACATTCTGGAAGATTTGTTTTTCCTCCATACTAACATTCCCCACAGCAACTCCCATGCAAAGCACCTTCTTTAGCTGAAACTTCACCATGGCCTTGGTCTCATTAACCTTAGACTCAAGAGATTCTTGGTGAGTAACAAGTGTGGGGAATTTCCCTACATAATCAAGCAAAATAAAAAGATCAGTGAGAATTAATAATAAATAATTTAAAATAATCATAATAACTTGAACAACAATAAGTCATATCCGGCTAGGTATCAAAATAGTTACAATTAAAACAATAATAACCCATATGGCGCCACAGCATGTAACACAACTGCAAAGATACTCATGCAAACATACAATAGATACATGGTAAACTTGCCTGCCTTATTGAATATTTTTAGGCAAATCAAAGCAAACACAGTGAACAACGTGAATTTTTAGGCAAATAACACTTGCCTGCCTTATTGAGACCAGGGCCCAAAAGACGGGGAATCTGCTTAATGACGGATTCAGAAGCTAAAAAGGCATGGTATTTTTTGGCAAGCTTCTTAACCAATTTCTTGTTTTTGTTCAGCTTCTTCAGCCCTTCCACATCCATGTAGTCCAACCCCATCTTCTCAGCCTGCAGATTCCAGCAACTAACATTAATCCAGAACAAATCAACAATTAAGCGATTGTCAAAGAGAAAACAACACGAAATCTAGCAGAACCACAAGCATCAAACATAAAAAATCACCATTAACCAACGGAAAAACTGTGCATGTATGGACAAAGTGGAAATGGAAATGATAGTCAACTAGATGAGTTTCATTGTGCAAGCACGAGAGAGATTTGCTTTAGAGAAGGGGGGGCCGTGAAACAGATTGCTACACCGTATCAGAGTATGGGACAACAACTTCCACCAAAGGAACACTTAACAAATATCTAGCAACAATCAAATTCTGCTAAATCAAGTAAGATTTGCAGTAATATATGCAACCCAGTGCCAATCTTCTCATATAATTAGAGAAGAAAAAAATTTACAAAGCCACATTCAGGACTTAAAAGTCAACATGTCTCTCCAAAAACAAGAGAACTCGTATTCCATTTTATCACGAGATTAGTACCTCTTCAACGTGTTGAGCATCTCCCAGCATGCATATTTTCATCTTGGGGCGAGGAATGTGGGGCAACTTCACAGAACCGCTAAAACGCTTATCCTTCTGAGGATCATAGTTCTTCAGCCCAATCTGGAGTTCAATGGTCTCCACAAAATTACGCTTTTTCTCGCTGGAATCCCTCTTGATGTTTGAGATTGCTTCTCTCAACGCATCACTCTGAAGCTTACTGTACAAAAAAGAAAAGGTAAGAAGATGAGAATTTTCCCTTGAAAAGAAATACTTGACCGTCTAAACATGATAACTCACTCATTAATTCTGAGATTAAAAGGAGCAATATGATAGAAAACGAGGTTAAAACTACAACACTGCCTATGAATCCTCCAATAATGCAATTTTGACGAGCTTACATAGAAGTGATGGGCTAAATGAAAATGGGAATCAGCTTTCCAGCAACGGGACACTGCAACTAAATTACTTTTAAATATAGATACATAGTCCACCTCAGTGTTCAACAAAAAATAATCTGCGGCATCTTGATAATGTATAATAAACAGGACGATAGACTCGAAATCCACAAGACGAGCTAAAAACGGACAGTAGGCGTGCAGAAACTTGAACAAATACCTCATTATTTATCTTTGGCCTTTCCAACAAAGCGGATACAGATCTTCTCCTGTAAACAAAATCGAATCTGATTAAACGAAGAATCCATATCGCAACATACAAGTGAGAAACATTTTGACAGCAAGTAACTCGCAGAAAGTCCCCAAAAAAGTAATTTAGGAAGAAAAATTAAATAATGAAAGACAGATACAGTATCAAAATCTCCTTTGTTTTGTGTGTTTGCTAGTATGGAATCTCAAAGACTGAGCAAGGAGCTGAGTGGATAGGGCTATGGAGATAGTACCAGCACAAGACGGCACGCTAGCGAGGCAGCGAAACTCGAAGCTCATCTGAAGTTAGGGTTTTCTGGCGGCAATATAATTTGCTATCTGTCCAGGAAACCCTTCTGAAGTTGGCTGAATCTGAACCGTTGACAAGTGAACGGCCACGATTATGTCACAACGTCGACGTGACTGTTTATAGTTCGCACGTGGCATTATCAGGGCTGTTAAATCATTCAATGGTCCAGATCAAACTTTATGGCCGGACAAATTTTCAGGGGAGGACAAGCCTGATACGTCCTCCATTATTTTCTGGCATTTTTTTTTTACCTGGTATTATTTTCTGGCATTTGAATTTACAAATGAGGGAAAAGAATATAATCAATTGTATAATTAGAATCGTTAAATCAAGCCCGTAAAATCTATTTTTAACCCAAAAAAGCACATTATTTTTTTTAAAAAAAATACGTTAAATTTCTATGCCTACGTTTTTTCTTTCATGCAACGGTGATCCTTGTAAAGGAGAGTAGATAGCGTCATTAAATATCTTTTGTTTTTTTGGCCAACGTTATTAGATGATATCATTTTTACAAATCACAGTAAGCAGACCTTTTAAGACCTTGCACGAGGGCATTTTCAATGCAATCAATGTGTGCAATCTTCTAGTAAACTGATAAATTAGAATTCATGGCCATTCAAGTTTTGGGAAAAAAAAAGTCACGGAGGTTTTACTTTTTAGTTTGGGGAAAAAAAAAGTCACGGAAGTTTTATTTTTTCGATCCTAAATATAAGAACTATTTTATAAATTGTATAAGAACTAACTATTTTATAAATTGTATAAGAACTATTTTATTATAATTTATAAAATAGTTCTTATATTTAGGACTGGATTAGTACTATTTATCTTTCTACATGGTGATTTTTAGATTATTTTTTCAGCCTTTTAAGAATTAATTTTAAGTTATATATGTGTATTTTCTCATTCTCTGCTATCTGTGGTTATCAATTTATTGCATATTTAATGTGCTATTTCGAACGTGCATGAAGTGATTTTTTCATTCGTAGGGAATATTGATTTATCAATTAATTAGAATTCAAAGTTTAGGACTACGAGATGAGATAATCTTGACATGTACGCAGTTGCACTTAATGTCGACTTTAGTTGTATAATTTTTTTATTACACAATTGATGTTTTATTTATAAAAAAAGTCCATAGTTACACGAATTGTCGTAAACTTTGTGGAAGAAAATTTTTAAAAAAAATACTACCCCTGCAGTTTAATATAAAAACTAGATAATTAATTCTTGAATATTAAGAAAATTAGTTATAAGTTAGTTATTTTTAATCAGTATATGTTATCTTTTAAAAAATACTCTTACTGGTTATGTGTATCATAACTATCTTTTGAAGGAATTTTTAACATATGCAGCTACTATAAGAGCTATTTTGAAAAAAAATGAATATGAGAGATAAAATGAATTAGATTCTTATATTTATGATCAAATTAAATATCTAATTAGTTTTTATATTAAGTTCGGAGGCAATAACAAAGATGAATCCGCTGTGACTTGTTTGATAAAATGTGATGTAAAAACTAACTAAATATGTGGAGATTATAGGCTCGCAACGCACAGCCTATACAAGCATACACGTCTGAAGGAAATCAAAGGGCAAGGACTTATTTTGTTTAATGCGAAGTATTAAAAATGAGAAATAAGAATTATGATTGGGATTGAAAATACATATTAAAAAGATATTTAGTATGAGTGATTTCTTATCACATAGGATGAGATAATCCTATTTAGATAGAATTGGAGAATATCACCTCCTTCATAATATTTTCCAATCCTACATATATAGATTTGTCAAATCCCAACTATCAAATAACTAGTCATTTTAAACACTCTTTTAATAAATTTTTTCACTCTCAATCAAAATCTTTATCCCTCATTTTTAATATTTTGTACCAAACGGGACCTATAAGTGTTAAATAACCAAATACCAATAAACACCTAGATGATGTATATAACTAGTGAGAATCTTATGCAGGGCATAAATTAAAGTTTAGGAAACAAAATACATTGCTTATGGCTAGTAAACAATATTACATTTAAGATTTAGTTTGTAATGCAAACTCGAACTAATATCACATATATGTTAAGTATTTCAATATTCAGATCAATTCTCCAGAGGAACCGCTATTAACAATCATGAACATCACCAACACAATGATCGCATTAATTACTGTCTGTAAGAGAACCCAATTCTCCGTATACAAAACTCCATAAAGAGAATAACCTTAAATTCAACTCAACAATGTTTTTATTTGACTGATGTGAAAACTCCATACAATGCTACTCCAATTCTCATCGGCTTATAGTTTATTAAGATGATAGCCAAAAACTCATATTGAACAGTAAGATCTAGTCAACCAAAAAAAGTTGCCTAAAGAAGAAAACTCATATGTATACTGATGAATTAACAGTATATTAGTAGTACTATTCCAATACAATAGTAGATTAAAGTTGTTTCTGGCCAAAAACACCCGCGATAAAATTTTCGAACCGGTGATATGATATTTGCTCAAGAAACTCCACAAGAGAGATCAAACCAAACTAAACTAAAATGTAAAAATTATGAGAACATGCAGTTCACGGGACCATTTCTAGATTTCGAATAAAACTTGACTGCTTGAAGAAACTACGAACAAATATCTGATCTAAATAATAGCCATTCAGTAACGTCCATCCCATTCCTATTCCTATTCCATCGGAGATTAACCCATTTTGGGCGTAGATGAATTTTATATATTCATGGGTCTTAATAATAACTATACTAATGCTCTCGTTCACGTCTTTCCCCTTATTTTTGTGATGAAGAATCACAGGAAGCAAAACACAAAAAAAACAAAGGAGAGAGTAGTTCAGAAACTGGGTCGATAGATGGGGAGAGGACAAGAGAGAGAAATTAATACAGGAATAACGCCATTTAAATTAGCAACTACTCTGTATCCTTAATCTGCGAGACTTGGCTTTCCTTGCATCGGCAATAAGCGCATCGCGAGCAGCAATAATCATTCGGTGAGAACCCAGGAGTGCATCGAAGGTAGAAAACTCGATCCAATCCTTCATCATCTGCTCCTGACCCCATTTATCTGGAATCTTCACCTTCCCTGCGACCTCGTCTCTGTGCCTCTTGAGCCTCTCGCGTCCTGCATCGTCTGATCCGGAACTCGACGTCGACGACAACTCACTCGGCTTCTTCGGCGCCGCCGGGGCAGTGTCTGGGAAAAGCGAAGCAGGAGGAGGAGGCGGAGGTGGAGGAGTGGGATTCCTGGTGGTAGATCTCGAGTCTTCCATGGATGAAAGAATGAATGAGGGAGATTATTGATGAGGGGGACGAGTGAGAGGAAAGAAATTTAAGAGGAGGGGAAGAGGAAGAGAACGAGTGGGGGTTTAAGAGCACACGTCATGGTAACATGTAAACAGCGTTTGTATGGCATGCGACGTCTCTACGTCTCGCGCCTGACTTCGATACACTATTTGTGTGGTTTACCTCCCAAGTTTCACAGATCTTCTCTCGCTTATTAGGGCTTTTATTTCTGAGGTGGGCGACCACCGTCACCGCACGTGATTTTTTCACCTTCACTTTTTAAGTGGGGAAAAACAAATTCTTACATATCAAATTGCCTATTTATTTTTCCTCATGAAAAGTTTCAATTCACAATCTCAGTTTAAGAAAAGTTTTTAACAACCTTGGATTACAAGGTCTTGACAAATTACCTATTAATGATCCCTTTTTTATTTACCTAAGAATATAATTTTTTGTTGTCATTTTGTTTTTTAAAAAATTAAGCTCTCATTTGTAGACATATATATATTTGTGTGTGTAGAAACTTTCTCAGTATGTGTTTTTTCGCATGTTAATATAGATTGATTAAAATGTGTAAAATAGATTTTAGTTTATTAAAAATCTAGAAAGCAGTGTAATAAATTATTAATATAAGTATATATTCATTTAAAAATATAATATACGTGTACATGTGTACAAACACATATATACAGAATCAACTTTTTCAGTGAACTTTATTTACTAAGAAAGAATTAACATATTGAAATCAATTTTAGAAAGATGTTTCAGCACAGATATCAATTGCGTGGCGGGATGCATTAACATAAAAGTATACTTGTTTGTCTTGTGGTTGCATTTATTATGAGCTTGATCTACTTTTCATTAGACCTGCTTAAACAGTAAATTAATTAATTAACTATAAATAGAACATGTCCAATAATGATTCATACATGACTGTAGTCCTGAGGTGTCAAAGGAAGCACTATCCAAATTTATTGTTGATGGGAGAGATGGGGGCCAGAATGAAACGAGTCGGGCAGATATTTTTTTAAAGGAATAAATGTACCAACGGCCAAACGAATTCATTAATGACAAATTCTATTATAAAAAATAAATCAAAGTTATAGTTGAGGTCTCTATATTTCAAAGGAAGATCAAAGATTACACGTAGATTAGTCATATTTTGGACTGGGGTTTAACCTTTGATCTTGAGCAACCACTTGACTAAGTAAAAATGGATCCCCCCCCCCTCTCTGTACTGCCGTTCTCAACTATGCCCCATGGAAGTGCATATTTCATGTTTGTTAAATGCCATGCTTGATTGTATAATGAACATTTTTGAATAACCTTACAGGAATGAAACTTCATTTCTTGGTTGGTATCTCCATTTTTAACGTCTGGTTTCAAATTGATCGATATTACTCTTGGTTGTAGCAACTTATTTTGACTCTGCTAAAAATAGCTCATATTTCAACACTTGAGCTGACACCAAAGAGCAGGCATCTCATACTGTAATAATAATCGATACATGAATAATCCTGCCATTTCCGCATTTCATTCATAATGTTTCTTCAGCTCCAGCTGAATCCATTCAAATCCAGTTGTTTGCAGCTCATCGCAGCATCGTTTTCTTCACGGGTGTTCAGGTCGAGTCTTGATGCTGCAAAGTAAGGCAATCTATACTCCTGAGGGACCTTCTCTTGCAGTGGTTTTGTCGATTCTGGCTTACTTGTGTTTCGGTGTGGGAATTCACCATCTGATTCTCTCCCCATCATTAATCTCTCAGGAAACATGCTGCTTCCATTATTCTCACTTTCTCTTTCAAGTCCGATGCTCATAGATAAGTCACTGGGACTTCTTTCTGCAGCATAACCCCTTCTTTCGGCAGTTTTGCCCAATGGGTTGCTCAGAAATGTGCTGTTCTTTTTCACTTCATCACGCCACTTGAGCTCGGAGTTCCTCAAGATGGGTGCTTCCATGGCTTCCTTTCTTTCCATGAACGTATGGCCATTGAAGGATCTTAAACCCATCCCTGGATTTTGTATTTCTTGTTCCTTTTGAGATCCATCGCAGGATGTGAGGCAGCTGTCCATTGAGCAGTCGGTTGGCTGGTTGTTTTGTGTTTGCTGTGGGTAGAATCCTTGTAGCTCCTTCAGTTCTGAAAAAGCAGAACTCAAGCACTGAGAAGATACTTTGGATACAAGCTCTGAGAGTTGAACTTTTGCTGTTTCAAGTCCCACCATCCCTAAATTCTGTCTACCAAGTGTTTCTTGAGCTTTCTCAAGCACAGCCTGCAGGTATTTCCCTTGGGCCTCTATGCGAAGCTGCAAGTGTCTCTGTACCTGGATGGGTTCAGAATGATTTTGTCAGTTTTTCAAAGTCTGAAGAGACTTTAGAACTGTATAAAACAAGGAGCCAGGATAAATTATGATTCTCTCGACCACTCCACCTAATTTTTTGTTTGACTTATTAAAAATATGAAATTGATATCTTATAATTTGATCTCTGTGATCAAAACACTTGTGTGTTATTAAGTTCTGCTAAACTAATTACGTGGCATGCATGTTATTCATATCAACTAAAAGGGATGAACTGGATAATAGATTTAATTGAGTTGTGTAATTTGTGATGTCATCCACGTTAAATAACATGTGTCAATTGGCAATCCCCTATCAAATAACCATCTTGTACGTTTTTCATAAAACAAGCTCATGAGCAGTAATAACTCAATTATTCACTCTTAGATTGTGGAAATGAAATTCAAAATTAAGTGAAAAACTATATGCACTAACGAATTGATTTAACAATGTCAGTGGAAGTTTTCGTTTAGAACTTTAATGGATAAAAGGAAAAAAATCTTGCATGATAGTAGCGACTCACACCTCAAGTTGTTCATTTAGCCTTCTCTGCACCTCAATCTGCATCTGCAGGGCCTCGCTTATGTGTAAATCTCTGGGAAAAGAGCACTGGATGTTAGAACCCGAAGTGATTAAAAATTTCTGATTCATAGAAAAAGCATGTGAAAATGGTGAATTTTTCTCACTTGTTAGCCTGTGGCGAGAGGTTTAGATTATTCATATGAGTTCCACCTGTTTCAGGAAGTCTTTCCCCCGTTGCTGCACCTGCATTAATTGCTGGTAAGATACGTTTGTTCTTCATGAACAAAGTTTTGTTGTTCATAATTTGCTCGTCATCAAATTAAGAAGTGGAGGAGATTTTGTTCTCTTACTGATTTTGTGTGTCACGTTGTTACTTTGTCCATGCAGATTCTTGCTCAATCTATACTTCTGAAGATAAAAGGGAAGGGATTAGCAATTGTTGTGCGAATTTCATGCCACACAACTTAAGGAGAAAAGGATGTTAATAGGTTTAGTGCAGACTATACAAAATATATGAGACGGGCGTTAAAATGGCGATTAAATTTGTTTTTTGGCCAACCAAACGGCAATTTAATTAGCGAAGCCATACAATATATTCCATACTAGTAATTTCGTGACTAAATATGAAGCATCTGGAAGAATATGACAGATTATGGCGAATCATGGATGTGATAATGTTTCACACATAATTTATACATGCAATTTGTTCCTTCAATATGATCTGTGATGTAGATGTAATCACTTCTGAAATATTTGAGTTAGTTACTTAAAATGAAGGTGGAAAATATTCAACAACAAAAAAAAAAGAAGAAGCTGGAAAAAGTTGGTGATTTTCAAAATTTAATCTATGAATAGAGGAACGAGGAGAACATAAGGACGCCAACCTTTTTAATTTGTATTAATGAACCTTTTCTTGCAGCTTCTAAGATCGAACTTATATTGATAATACAAAAGCCAGTTATTCTGTAAGTGGAGATTTTGGCTAGCATGAACTATAATTGATTAGCTGTGAATGCTACTTTCTCTTCTTGAGGGGGAGATTGAGGCTAAGATACCACTTGATGACTGATAAAAAATACATGCATTTGATATGGCAGATCTAAATTGACAATCTTGCAATTAAAAAAATTTATAATTCAGACACTTAAGATTATTACCTGAAGATGGCTCTTTAGATGATACAAAGTGAGCCCTGGAATCCCCATGAGCTTCATTACTGTCTTAGGAGTAGCCTCTGCAGGGAAAAGGATTGTACTCTGCATTAGTGAATCAAAAATTCTACAGAACATGACATTGTTATGACCATTCACTAGAAGATTGTGAGTACTCACTGTCAGCTCCGCCTAGCTGATTGACCGCTTCTATAAACCTGGCATGTAGATCTGCTGTCCATTTCAATCTGGGTTTAGCATCAGTGGAGAGGACAAGTCCAGAATCACCAGAGCCATTTCCAGTTTGAAGGAACATGTGCCTCTCAGCTGAGATTGGCATTCTGGAAGAAGAAGAATGGATGTTCTTTCCTTGGTGTTGGTGATGGTGATACATGATTCTATTCTCTGGGTTGCTCTGCTAACTATGGAATGTGGACGTGGAACTTGATAATTCTCTATTTTCAACTAGTATTGCTTGGCCTGACACAAACAAATTAACAAACTTCTTGTTGTGCTTGTCTTGTTTCTTTTCTTCCCATATGTCCTCACCAGGAGGCATGCCATACTGATATTTATATCTGAGAGAAGGTGAGGGAGTTAGTAAGTAACGCATGGAATCTTTGGATAGAACCAATTGAAAACCAAACTTAATCCTTTTTGTGTGGTGACCTGAGAAATAGAGATATTATTCCTTCCTACCTTTGCTAACTTGTGTGGGCCCTGTCCTCGTTCCATTTTCCATTCTCAGACTGCAAATACAAACTTCCTAAACACCTCAGACCTTGCATTAGGTTCCAGAATTGATCCTTCAAATTTTAACCCACTGACATTCTTATTCGTTTGCTAGACTAAAGTAGGAATCGTATTCCCAAATTTGAAAGAGGATCCCCCCCCTCCCATTTCTCTGACTCTGTTCCGGGGAAGCCGATATCCCTCTCGACTTGGAACCACCAAGGCTCATCCTTTTAACTTGTTTGGTTCTAATGGCGTTGGACTTGGAAATTAAAGATTAAATCTTCAGTTCCTTAATTTGATCTTGGGTCATTTTATCAGTCCTTAACGTACTTAGCTCTTTGTTGGCATGATGAAGTGGGTTTTATTCTAGCTGAACAGTTATCTACGGTAAAGGAAGCAAAC